GTTTTTTTTTAAAGAAAAGTGGAACTTTACCTTTTTAATATTTATTCTGCTTGTAATAGGTTGGCAGCTGACTTGTTGCTTAAATTCAGATTCTGTTRAAACTTGCTGATAGTGGGTTTTCTTTGTTTTGATGGATTATGACAATGTGTCCTATTAAGAAGTTTGAATGAGATATGCTTAACTGTTTGAAATACTCCTGCAGTTTAAGTTCCTCTGACAAGGATGCTAGTCTTCTTAACTGGAATCAGCTTTAATCTTTTAACCAACTCTGCTCCAATACAAACTGTCTGTTACTGTTCTTGGCAGAAGTTTAGATTACAAAAYGTCTCCTTTATGGATTTTCTTTGTACCAGTCTGTAAGCTCCATTGCATACCTGCAGCATTCTGAATGTGGTTTTTCTTATACCTGAAGTCACAGCAGCCTAGAAGAAGACTTATTCATTGAGTAGCACTTTTGGTATAGCACATTGTCTGCCAACTTGTTCGTATCYAGATTAATTGTTGGAAGCCTGTTATGCTACAAAGGTGTTGCATTTTCTCTTAAGATAAAATTAGTTACACTTCCRTAACATAATTGCTACTGTTATTTTTTACATTGTAATACTTTCCATACTGAGAATCACAAATTGCTGAAAATGTTATCTTGCTTCCTGTAATCTGAACAACTAAGACAGATTTTTAGCAAGTTAGAATTCCACTGAATCCCTCTCTTTAACTATTTTTTTCTGGGTTTTTTTTTTTGAATTTCAAAATTAGAGTTGTTATTAGAATTTTTATAGAAAACCCAGGAAAGACAGAAAATACATCTTTATTTTAAACAGTATGACTTGTTTACAATAGCATATATGAAATACTGCTCTATTTAGTATAAACTTAATACTTCATGCACATTTTGCAAATCAAGTTCTTAGGATGATCTAAAATTTGTCTRATGATGAGAGTACACATTTTTTAATCTGTGAATTTGTTTTAGGAAGTCATACGTCTCAGCAGTTGCATATCACATTGTTTGCATCCTCTTTTTTGCCAATATTAGCTCAGTGAGCAAGTTGCCTTTTCAACATGGAAACATGATTAAAACAAAGGTTTTACTGTTAGAGGCAATCTATTTTGTGCTCTGTTTTTGTACAACATTCTTGAAAATGTATTTATTTTAAAAACTTTAGTCACATGGTATGAATCTTGAGGCTGAGCTTTGCAGGGCCAGGAATTGGACTTCGATGATCCTTCCAACTCAGGATATTCTATGATTRTATATTTCACTGGCATTGTAAATCTGACTGCAGGGAAGGTCCAGATTTTAACATAGCATTGCTTTTCTGGAATGAAAACACTTACAAAACTGAATCTATAATTTATAATCTCATAATAAAATGACATCATAAAATTTGAATGGTTAATTTGAATTAAACAGAAAAAAAAATTAGGACAGMTGTGGTATATTTTAGCAAGGATGCCTCCCTTCCTCAGTCATTTCAATGCTAGCCAGTTCCTAACTCTAATTGTGTTTGCATTTGGCTTTGAAGGACTTGTATTGTTTATATTTATTTCATGAGACATACCTGTCTAGCTTGAAACTATCTCAACTTCAGCTTTTCTTCAGAAAAGTTACTTAATAAAAAAAATAATAGCTGARAAAAGAGTCAGTGGCTGAGAGCATACACCAATGATTTAGAAAATAGAAATGTTCATTATAACACTCTCTGTTGGGGGTGGGTATTGAAAAATTGTCATTGATAAATGGTTTGTCCATATTGCTTGCCTAACTTTGYCCTGATTCCTGAAGGATTAATCACTGCCTCAGCAAGTCAGTGTTCTGGTTAGCTGTTCCTTCTTTCATTGTTTTTGTGCCTGGTCATGCAAGAGAGAGCAGCAAAATTGCTTACTTGATARTTTTCCAATGTGTCTTCTATTTTCTTCCCCCCAAATTGTGCAAACTCAGAAGCATTTTACATTGTCATTACAGTGTATTTCTAGCAGGCTGACCAGGAAGCTTTATGATCAGCCTATTGCTGAAGGAGCAAGGAGGAAACCTGAGTCCCACAGTGTTACCTTAGACTGTAAATGAACAATAAATTCCTGAACATACCTGAAATGTTTTGTGCAGTGTAGTTTAAATTGTAGTTTTAGATTTGTTGCTAATTATGCTTTTGTTAAATAAAATACAATCAGAATTTTTCTAAAAATTTGCTAAAAAAAACAGTTTCTAAAACTAAACCTGAAATTTATTGTGAATATTTTCTGGATATTTTGATATATGATGCCATATATGTTRCATAGCTTCAATTGTATCTTGCCATATTTTCACCCTATTTACTTGTTATTACTACTCATTGTGGTGCTTCTGAAATTCTGATCATAGAATCATTGGAGTGGAACTATGGCCCAATATTTGTATTGTATGATTTGGAGAGACGATTAATAAGTGGATAGRATTCTACACTCACAGAGTGTATGACTCCCACTGGTTTCTGTAGAGTGCTTCTCATAATTTACACTAAATTATGTGATGAATTAATTAGAAGTAAAAGTAAGAATTACAGTCCTACCTAGATTAGGTTTTCTTACTCTGTGTGATTTAAGATTGGTATACCTGGATTATTTTTTTTTTTAGTGTACATGTAATCAAAATATTTCCTTTTTTAAACATTTGAGCATGTTAAAACATTTAACATTTAACTGTTAATTTCTGCTTGTATATGAACTAGTAGATTGTACTTGAGACGTGGATGACCATTTGGCTTTGAGGCTTTCTTATGCTTTGTTACTTTTAATAAGACTTTGGATTCTTTTGTAAAAAAAAAATCTGATGGTCCTGTTCCTGAACTGCTAAGCTCTTGATCCTGCACCCTGCATTTTTAAATACTATCTTAACAATGGGCAAGCACTTTTTTGAGCTTGCACTCATATCACATTGTTAATCTTAGTCATRAATCCTCCCATAACCTGATGGTTAAAAAGAGCAGTTATTTCTGCTTGTATTCTTTCTCAGTTAAAGTGAACATATGAGAAGGCCTGGATAATTAACAGATAAAAGGTAGCACTTGYCTTAAAGCCTTCATCTGTAATAATTGGTTGTATGAAGGTATACACTGAATGATATGTACTTGTGCTGAGTGACAGCACTTTCTATAATTAGCACCACTAAATATGAGGTGGACATTTCTGTAAAATGTAGACACTGCCAAGTATAGTATAGCCAAGCAGTGGTGTAACTTATACCTGAGTTTCATGTTAGGTTTTGGATACCAGTTCAATAGAAAAATACTTTTGCTTCCAAAGGTAACCATGCTATAAATGCATAAACTCCATAAGTGTGTAAAATCTCTTAGTTTAGATTTATCTTTTCTTTTCCTCTTTCCCTGTTAACCTCTCCAAGGGTTATCTTTTCAGGGCTGCTCAGCAGATAATGATTGTATGCCCGTAATAATTCCTACCTCAGTGTCACTCAGATTTCCACTAGTTTTATAGACAGAACGAAGTAACAGAAAGTCACACAGATTTTTAGTGTGCTAAACTTTCTAAATTCCCTTTCCAATTCTTGGTTGAAGTTGATTTTTGTGGTTTTTTTTTCTATCTACCACAACATAGGTAAGGCTTGAATTCTATATTTAATTATTTTGAAATTTTAATGTAGATTGTCTAACAGGTTTTTTAGAAATTATTGCTTCATTACATGTCTTTATAAATGTTATTCTGTAGCTTGAAAGAGACTCTGAGGAGCATAGCAGTGGTCATTCAAAATAAAAGTAGCAAAATGCTATTGGTAAATCAGTACATAAAGAAATATTCTTATATATATATATATATATATATGTGTGAAATACAGAGGAGTAAGTGCATGAACTACAGAGAATTCCAGTTCTCTGATTGTAAGGGATTTTATGCATTTCTGGACTATTTACAGTAATTTGCTTTAAGTACAAAAGATAATATAAACTACTGAAAACTTTTAGTTAATTAGGAGAGCTGCAAATCCTACAYATAGAAATGGTTACAACTGTTGCTGATGTTAATTTATTTTTTAAATGTTGCACTTATAAGCTGTTAAATAATTTACTCATGATGTTCAAGACATCTTGCTGTCAATGTTGTCAGCATTGTCATATATGCAACAGGAAATGTTCATTTCATTTCATATTTTTAAATCTGTCTTGTGTTTTTTAGGCCTAAAGACTGCCTCCGGTCTATTATGAAGAGAGTGAACCATAAAGACCCCCACGTCGCTATGCAAGCGCTAACAGTAGGTTCTTTTGAATGTAGTGACTCTTCTTTCTGAATAGTTACATTGCAAAAAAAATCTCTGAGTTTTAATCTTTCTTTCATTAGCTTCTAGGAGCATGTGTATCAAACTGTGGCAAAATCTTTCATTTAGAAGTCTGTTCAAGAGATTTTGCCAGTGAAGTAAGCAATGTATTGAATAAGGTAATGTATTGCATTGATTTATACATTTCATCTATAAKTGAAATCAGATAAAGAATTGGGGTAATCTGAAAGTGCAGTGGAATCTACTTTTGGAGCACTGGAAAGAAGGGGAGGAGGAGAGAAGATACTGTGAAGATTGTGGCTCTCAGAACTTCCTGGATGCCACTGTACACTAGTTAACATAGAGTTGCAGTTTGGGGGAGGTGTGGTGTGTTAATTTGTAAATAAATTACTTTTTTTTCACTTTAAACAACAGAAGTGAAACACTAAATACAAATGCAGTGAAATTGAGATAGTACAGGGTTTCTGTGTAACCTTATTTCACTTTATATTGGGTCTAGCACATATTGTACTGGTACAAACACAATGCTGGTGTACTATTCTCCCTTTCTAATAAAGATTGAGCACTACACTTGACTAAAAAATAAAGTATCTATAYATTTTATATTGACAGTAATGTGAAATTTCTTGAAATTAAGATCTAATTCCTACATTATTTAACTTGTTTCTACTGTCCATGCAGGGTCATCCAAAAGTTTGTGAAAAGCTGAAAGCCCTTATGGTGGAATGGACTGATGAATTCAAGAATGATCCACAGCTTAGTTTAATATCTGCTATGATAAAAAATCTTAAGGAGCAAGGAGTTACTTTCCCAGCTATTGGATCACAGGTATATTAGATTTTTATGGTTGTTCTCAAAGTGTGTCACAAATTCTTTTTATCCTCAGCTCTGTATTTAACAGTTTGTTATCTTGAATTCTGGAATGTTTGGCAAACAAAATGAAAACTCTCTTGTGTTATTAAGAYCTGAGAACTGAAATGCTCTCAATAACTTTAGATTTTTATATAGCAGATGAATACAAATCAAAATGGTGAACTTAATGCATTGTCAGTTTTTTGTAGGATTCATTTCTACATCTTTTATTTTGTCTAGGCTGCTGAACAGGCTAAAGCAAGTCCAGCTCTAGTTGCCAAAGATCCTGGTACAGTAGCCACCAAAAAGGAAGAGGAGGATTTAGCTAAAGGTGAGTGCCTTTATTTGCTAACATGATGCATATATTGTTTTATTGAAATGACCTTTAGCTAGTCTCTGTGTGTTACTAATGGTTTTTTCAACAGTCAGCCCACCAAAGTCTATTTTAARGGGATCTGTGTGTCAAACTTCTGCATGAGTTTTGTAGTGTTTGTGTGTCCACCCTGTACCTTCTTAAATATGATCCATTTATTTTTCCTGAAAACTGGAACTGAGTTTAATATGAGTGAAACTTCCCTGCACATCCAAGCTTAATTGAAAATGACCCAGAAATGTGAAATTATTCAAGGAATGATAGGGAGGGRAAAAAAAAGGAAGGGGCAAAATTTTGCTTGTTTAAGCAAAAATCATTTTGTTAATTATGAGTTAAGGAGGGTCTTTAYTGCAAAGGTGATCAAACACTGACACAGGTTTCCCAGGGATGCCATGGTGTCTTTATTCTTGGAGATATTAAAAAGTTGTCTTTGGCAGTCAGCTGTGGTGACCCTGCTTGAACAAGATTGGATTGGACAAGGTTGCTTCCAGTGGTTTCTTCCAACAGCCAATCTGTGTAAATCTGATTCTCTGAATCCAGGCTAAAGCCTCCTAACAGAGAAACAGTGTGCACTGGAACAGCTGTATCTTTTTAATGTTTCAAGCAATCTGGCAAAGCTCAACATGGTGTAAGATGTAAAGTAACGATGTAAATATTTTACATCAGTTCAAGGTTGTAACAATAATATAATAATAAAACATTATTGACTTTGTGGAGTTATTCCCTGTATGTATAAATGCTGTTTATTCATCCTGTCCATGTTGGAAGCTTCTGTAAATCCATAGGCAGAATTCTGCTCTCTAGTTTTAAAATATTGCTTTGTTATTTACCATTAATACTAAGAGAAAGACAGAGAGTGATTAAAATTCAATAGGAATAGAATTATACTAAAAGTTTTCACCGAATTAAATTTTCATATCAATCGACCCATTTTTATAGGTAATTTTTATCTAACTCTTCTTTTGTAGCTATTGAGCTGTCACTAAAAGAACAAAGGCAACAGCAAACAACACTTTCCAGTTTGTATCCAAGCACCTCAAGCCTTTTAACAAATCACAAACAYGAGGGCCGAAAGGTTCGTGCAATCTATGATTTTGAGGCTGCTGAAGATAACGAGCTAACTTTTAAAGCTGGAGAACTTATAACTATCCTTGATGACAGGTAAGTTATACAGAATACCTACTAGAACTATGTTAAACTGTAAAAATGAATTAAAAATAATTATATCTTCCAAGTAGAAGCATACCTTGGAATACAGTTGACTGGAAATGTAATTTTGTATTAAATACTTTATTTTATTATCTCCTAGATTCTTTACAAATAAATATATTTGAATATAAATTCTTGTGTAAAAATTTCTGCATATATACAAACTATATTTATGTGCTAGTAATATAAAAGCCTTTACTGTGCAATTCCTAGGAAAATTCCATGTGAGTTTGGGATTTTTAATATATGGGGGCTTTATTTGTTTTTTTTCTTTAGTGATCCAAACTGGTGGAAAGGTGAAACTCATCAGGGTATAGGATTGTTTCCATCTAATTTTGTAACAGCTGATCTTTCTGCTGAGCCTGAAATGAGTAAGTAACATTACATTTATGTATATATGTTAAACCCTGCCATGGCYCAGGGGTGATTTCCTTTCCCTTATGATGGAGTTTAGCTAATGTGATAATTGAAGTAAAACTGAGGAGCCCTTGCTGTGCTCTTACAACAGTCAGACCAAGGCTGCCCAATCTGTCTTCTACTGAAAAATGTTACTGTCTGCTGCTGGCTTTGTCAGCAGCTTGAGACTCATGGAATCACCCCATTGACACCTAGATAAATGTGGCTTGTTGCCCCATTGCAATGATGCATATCCAATTCAAGATGAAACTGAAGGCCCCATGGTAGATAAGACTTGGAGACAGATTACAAGTATTCAAGTAGTTCAAGGATTCTACATGCTGTAGGTGTGTACATGTGCATAGTAGATTAGTATAGAGAGTTTTTCTATATACTGCTTATTTACTTGTATCTATTTATATCAATCTAACCTACTTARAATATTTAATAAAAATATTTTATATTAGGCAAGACTTTAGGATTCTAGAACTGATTTCTGTAAATCTCTTGGGTTTGCAAGATTAATCTCCTGTGATCTCAGTCTGAGGGTGCTGGAGGTATGATCAGGTCAGCAGAATTACATGCTGTAACAGTCATTTTTGCTATGTTAAGACTATCTAAACAGAGTGCATCAGAGTGTATGATTGTATTTGGCTTTTTGCTAAATTTTTGTTCTAGCCTCCACTACAGAGGAATGCAGATAGGATTTGGTGAAGAAGGAATAAAGAAACTTGAGACCTTTCAATTCTCTACTTGTTCTGGAGAAAAGAAGGCTCAGTTTGTCATAAAAGGTTTTATTGGTTTTATCTAGAACTTGACTTGCTAGCCATGTTGCTTATGATCACTTATTCTGTCTTTTATACTGATGACTTCTTAATATAAATGTTATGGGCTATGATATAAACATTTACTTCCTAAAACATGTTTTTGTTGACCCTGTGTGAACTGGTGTATTTTTTCTTAATGTGTTTTAGAGATAAGAAAATTATTTAGATCTGTGGCTTTTAAATGTCAGCAAAACACTAATTTTTAAAATTTTCACATTAGAGGTTTCAAATGCAAGGAATCTAGGCAATATACTCTCTATATAATATTTTTGTTTCTTTTTTTTTTTAATTTATAAAATTAAATCTGGCTGTTTGTCTTACAGTGAAAGCTGAGAAGAAAACAGTGCAGTTCAGTGATGAAGTCCAAGTAGAGACAATAGAACCTGAGCCTGAGCCAGTTTATATTGATGAAGTAAGCATGGTAAAAGTACTGCTTGGTACTRAATGCACTGCTGGGACATTTAAATACACGCTGTTTAACCTTTTCGTCTCGTACTTCAAATATACAATAAAAAGAGAATGGGAAGAGATATTTTTTAAAGCAATAAAAAAAAATCTGCAGTATTTTCATTTGTTCTAGAGTCTTGTAGCTTTTAGGAATTTCTGAAACTGAATTTGGAACTGCATTCCATTTAGGGCCCTACTCTGGGATTATACATCTATTTACATCTGAGCTAGAAGCTTGATGATGGGTGGCACATGTACTTTCAAATTTTGCTTGAAGTACCACAGAGATACCCATCTTGACTGCTGTCTTAGATTTATTTCCAGTATAACCACCACTCTCTACCCTCAGACTGAAAGATCTCTTCCCATCTCTGAAAAGTCTGAGATTCTGTTGCTATGTAAGTAATATTTAGTAAGATTACAACAATCTTACCACAGTGATCCTGTAAGGTTTCCAGGAACATTCAGTTCAGAAAGTTTTTCCCCTGTTTTCTTTTTTCTTTTAAATACTTTCTTTTTCTTATTTATGCTGAAATCAACCCTGAAACAKGTCCAAACATCATCTTAAAACAACACGTCCATGTACATTGGTAATGGCATGGTTCATGTACTATAAAGGCCTCACACACTTCAAAATGCTTCTCAGTCAATTTGAAATACTCTCTTAAAGTATTCTGTCAAAACATTTTCACTAATTCCACTAGATGGTGGTATTGCATATGTAATAACTAGGCTGGAAAAACAAAAACTGCTCAGAAAATACTGGTTAGAAGAAATTCTAGGAATAAAAGAGTATTCTGCACATTCCACTTGTTACCACTAATTTTTGTCATTTGGCTTTTCCTTGTTCAAGCATCTTCATTCCTGTAAATGTATCATTTGTATTTCCTTGAAGTTAGTCTAGGTAATTCTCAAGTGCCAACAGATCAAAATGCCTGCTGTGGACAGCTGCTTTAATTTACTGTCCTGAAAGTGCCAATTCCCTTGCTGCCACATTTGCCCTAATTGTRCACTTTGTGTTTTAGGATAAAATGGACCAACTCTTGCAGATGTTGCAAAGTGCTGATCCTTCTGATGACCAGCCAGACCTTCCAGAATTRCTTCATCTTGAGGGTAAGAAAAGAAGGTTTTTTTCACTGTTTTCCTCTCTGCTAATTTACTGTATCAATGCAAATTGAAACTCAGCTGAAACTAGTTCATCTTCATGTGCATGCAAGAGGGATGCCTGAGAAAAGTTCTTGAGCCATAATTATCTTATTTCCCACATCTAGGAGACCAAAGGGCAAAATGTTGACTTGAAACAAGTCTACTTTTCTCTAAAGAAAATGGTTTCCTATATTATTTTTCTTTTCAAGACACATAAATATTTAATTCAGTAATATTCATTCATTATTTTTTTTCCTTCATAGAGTAGCACTGCATGAGTGGTGGAAGGAGTGTGAGGAAGATTCCATGAGAGGAAGCAGAAATACTACTGAGGTTTAGAATAGACCTGTGGGTKTCCCACATGCTTTTCACTTGTATGTGCATTTCTGTAGGAGTTGTATATTAACAAATACCTTATAGAGTGCTACAAATTATCCTGCCCTTTTAGAGTCAAATTTTTCAGACTACCACTKCATAGAGGCATTATAGATCATTTTACGTAGGTTGATAGATTTYTTGAATGGAATTTGGAAAAAGAAGAAAGGAGATTTCCCAATTATGAGACAGAACATAGTCTTAAACTGTAGTTAAGATGGTACCACACTTTGTTAAGAAAATGGCAGTACTTTCATCTAGAAGTTAATAGTTAAAGACTGCATTGGTTTGTAAACTTTTAGATATCTCCCATTTTCCATACCCATCTGATTCATCAGGACTGTAAATGAATCCTGTTTTCAGATCTCACATCAGTGACATGTCTGCACATATTCTAGTTCCTCTGAAACTAAAGAAAGGTAAAAAGAAACATGACCAGTTTTATTCTTTCAAGTCCCAAATATAGCTATAGAGGCTGTTGTCTAAGAAGCAAATTGCCTGTATCTGGTCCAGGACAGAGGCAAAGAAATGAAAGGTATGCTTGCCAACCAGCCTACAGATATGGTTTACTTTGGGCATTGCTTCAAAATGCATTGTGAGATCATTGAAGCAATGCTGAATTTTAATATCAAACTACGGGACTGCTCCAAAAATCTGAAAGCAGTAGTRTGATCAGGTGATTGCTCCCCAGCTACCTGCAACAGCACCTGCCAAACATATGGCTACATACAGTTTTACAATGCCAATTCAAGAATACTTGCTCTACTCTTCAGTAGGCTTTGGTGAATTACTGTTTTTGTCATTGTTTCTGAAAATTTYGCTATAGATGTGTTTTGAGTCTTTGGTTCCTACCAGTGGTGGCAGATACTGATCGACATTTGACAGAAAAACCACTTTATTTTCTTCTGCCATCCACATGTCCTGTCAAAAGTCTTTGAATTGGAGAGTTTATCCTAACATGTTCAGGAGCCCAGGGCTTGAGGTTGGCAGCAGAGCAGTCACCGTGTTAACAGATATCTGAACAATCCTTGTCGTGCCTTTTCCCACACTTCATGCTTTACATAGAAGTAGGCAGAACTTSAACAGGTTTTACATCTTCTCCCAACATTTCTGCTAGTGTATTACTGATCCCAGCTTCAAAGAAGCAGATGGGTACCTCTCATACAATTCCTCTTTCACCTGSAGTTGCCTTCAAGGAACACAATTGTAATGTCCTTTTGCACATCCTGGCTCAGAGGTTTTCAGGACCTTCTKCATTTTGAATATCCAGAATTACACCTTTGGCTTTCGTGTCTGTTTATTTTACATTTGACACACTCTGCCTTTCGACTAATTAGCCATGGTTTGCTTGGCAGTTAAATGATCCTCCTTGTGCTGAAAGGAGTCACAGGATGCATTTTTGTTTATTTTAATGTTTTTCCATTCTGCTTCTGGTAAGCTTTTGTGTTGTTTTTTGCACATGTCAGTGGTTTGAAAAAGCCCCCTTCCCCCAGTTAGGATTCCARTGAGAGCAATGTGCTATTAGTGTCTTTCATGTACTGAGGATTGAATCATTACAACCAGTTTTCTCCTTCATTGTTTTCATAGTCCTTTTGTAGTAAAGTTAGAAGAGCACATGATCTGGGTTGCAGTGGCAAATTTTCTTCCTTGGAGATCACCTATCAGATTTACTTGAACATTTTCATGCAAAATAGTTTCAGTTTTATACTTCTGGGATGTAAAATGTGTTYTGTTTCACTTTATTTTTATTTTGAAACATACTTTTAAAATTTTACAGTTACTGACAACTTCAGCTGGCTCTCATTCTTAAATTGTTCATGACACTACCTCTGCTACTAAAATTTTTTGACATACAGATAATAGTAATGAATTAAAAAAATTGGCCTAGCATCTATTTCTATCTGATTTTTTTTAATTACTCTCTGACTTTGTGGTATGGAAATGTTTATTACTCTGATATATTTTAATGTCTTTTTATTCTAGCAATGTGCCACCAGATGGGACCTCTCATAGATGAAAAATTGGAGGATATAGACAGGTAAAAAAATGTCTTGTGCTGTGACCCAAATTAAAATTCAGTCTTAGAAATACCAGAGTTGGTTCTTGATAATATCTTAATTTCTGTGAGTACTGGCAAAGAAAATAGGTRTATTTATTAGTAGTTTCTCTGGGAAGAGGTCTGAAGATTTTTTTTCCCATAGTCACATAGTATGTTGTAGTGTTGTACCATTTGACACTCTGGCACTTGTCAGGCATGACTTCACAGTAAGAATATGTTGCTTAACACTCCTCATGAAATTTCTCTGTATTGTCTGTCCTATACTAAAGTTATCTGCATTGTAGAATGAACTGTAAAATATATTTTCTAGGAAACATTCAGAACTTTCAGAGCTTAATGTTAAAGCAATGGAGGCCCTTTCTTTGTATAACAAATTGGTGAATGAGGACCCAATGTATTCCATGTACGCAAAACTACAGAACCAGCAGTATTACATGCAGTCATCTGGTGTTTCTGGCTCTCAGGTATGGATGTAAATTTTAATAGTCATTGACCTTATCAAGTTCACACTGACTGAGCAGTTTTCTCTCAACRTAGTATGTACAAAAATAAAAATATTTGTTTTCAGCTACAAGCTTTGGATGCTCTCCTTTTGCGGGTTCTAACGCATTTGGTTTTTTCTGTTTGGTTCCTTTTGATTAAGGAAAAAGCCCATTGTGGGCTTTAAGTTGCATGTAAAATTAAAAAATAAAACTGCCAGGGCTTTGCATAGTAAGTCAAAGAAAATAAGCAAAGGAGTACAATTTCTCTCCTATCTACTCATAGATAAGTCAACAAGAAAATGCTGCTTTGAATGAGTTACAATTTTTAACTTCAGTAATTTAAATGCTAAAGTTCTTCACTGAGCGTATTAAAAAAAAAGGAAACTAAAAATTTGAGAGGGTGTCTTTAAGTTCTAAAGTCAGATATTAAATAGCAATTTCTCTTGTATTTTATTTCTAATATTGCTTTATTTAACTTCCTAGGTTTATCCGGGGCAAACTCAAGGTAATGCATATTTGGTGGCAGGGAGTGCACAGATGGGCCATGTTCAAGGTTACAATCTTCCTCCTGAACAGCTCCCTTCTCTCAGCCAAGGCACAGTTACTCCATCTGCCAGCTCAGTACTACCTGGTCAGCCTGCACAGACGTCTTACACAAAGTAATTTTAAATATTTTTTCTATTCAAGTTTAAGTCAATTTAAACAGAAAGGAATGCAGGCAATATTTAAAGGAGCTTTTTTTTTTTTTTTTTTTTTTTTTTTTTT